TAAACAACAAAATCAGCAGTCTTCTGGTACTGATAATGGCAAACAAGATGTTTGCAGGTTTCAACTACTGGCATTCAGGAATTATCTTCCAGGATATTTCCCATGTCTGCACACTCTGATTTATCTTTTCTAAACTGTAAATTGCTACGCTGCTCCACTGTCACTTCCTGAAAAAAAATGTTTTGCCCATCCTGCTGTGCCTACAATCCCCTAGGTCACTTTAAATTAGCATTAAGTGGCTTGCATCAATTTTAGAAGAGCTTACTCAAATTCCATTTTCTTTTACTCTTAAGACAATAGATATACAGGTAATATTCCCACACCACCTGCTTCTACTTTTTGAATTGTCCTGGATAATCATTGCAATTCGGCAATTCCAATACTTCTGTTACAATTCTCAGAGTAGTTACAAGATGTTTACCCAGAGCTCACGTTGACCTCTTGGGAGCTATCAAACTGTAAGAGCAAAAACTGACTGTAAACACTTTAAGTCAAGGAAGGACTATTCTCTAGACTGACTATTCATAGACCACTCACTTATCCCATGCTGAATCCAACAGTTTGCAACAGGTCGAAGAATGTGAAAGTTTTGAAACAAATATGCCGAAAGACAGAGAACCCATTTTTCTTCTTGTTGTGTTCAAATGATTAATTATTTTCTCTGTTAATATCTGGGCTTAGCTTCTAATTAGAATGTCTTTGTTGCATTAGACAATTCTTCAATAGCTAGCACTCACTTCTTACAAAGGTATTTATATACCATAATTAAAGTTTTCTTTGTTACCTTAAAAAAGATTAAAATTTTTAAGTTTCTTCAGAGGCATTTTCTCTAGCTCTGAGTTAATACATTCAGCTTGTTCTGCAGCCTATCCCATTTTTAAAGTCCTGTTCAAAATGTGGACCCCAGAACTAGATCCAGTATTTCAGTACTAGCCTCATCAATGCCACATTCAGAAATAAAATCACCTCCTGCTATTTACCGTTCCTTTTTATATGTATAAAGATGGAATTAGCTCTTTGCTCCACACCATCACAGCAGATTTGAATTATTTATTCACCAACTCCTAGATCTTTCTCAGACTTGCTACTTTTCATGATGCAGTCCATTCTGGCCTGCGTTTTCCATTTATAAACAAATAACTTTGGCTATTTTAACAGGCACTTTGCTCATTTGCCTAGCTTACCAAGTAATACCAAGTATTCTGTGTGCCCGCCTTTCTATGCTTTTACCACATCAGTACCTTTGTGTCACTTACACACCAGGAATGATTTTACAATTCCTTCCAGATAACTGAAAGGAAAATCCAGCAGTGCCTAGATATGATCCAAATCTCACAGAATACTGTTAAAAATCTCTTCTTCCTGCCCACTGATAATTCCCAAGGACAACCACACTTTGAGATTTCCAGTGGCCATAGAAGTCGTCCCACTGTTTTCTTGGAACTCTTGAGTATAAATCACCAGAGCCCAATAGATATTAACTAACATCTTGTTTGGTTGTTTGGAAGTACAACCCTTCTCTTCTGATATGAATATAAAGGATATTTTCTTCTCTAAATAGAAAAAAATATTTTTTTTGGAATGTTTCTACTCTGTCAATGTGGTTAGTAATGATTTTACACCCCTGCTAAGATTTTATTCTTACTTTACTGCACGAAAATCTTATTATCCATATCCTTGTCAGCCCTGCTACCAAACAACTCTCTGGCATCCTTAGCCTCCTTTATCAAATTTCTCTGCCTTATAACTTCTCACTTACTGTTTTCAACTGTTTTACATTTGTTAGTTATTGTAATTTTTTCTGCCTTCAATTCCCCACTGGTTAAAAACATATCTGATTCAAAGTTAATCGATTTTTTTCAGTGTAAAATGTTAATTCTTTAAGTTACTAATAAATGTTTAAGGCACTTTTTATTTGGTTGAAAACTCCTAAGCAACAATTATTTATTTCAGGGTCTGATGCGACCTACTGAGGCCAGATGTTTTAATCTGTACTAGACCACAATCTTCACAAAAGTACAGAAACCAAGAGCTAGAATAAGTAATGTTGAGATTGCATTTAAACCAATGAAAACAAACGTCTGCAATCACTAAACATCCAGGAGAATGTTTGTTATTCATCAGGATAATCATTTTTTTATCCTCCTCTTTCAAATAACATTTTTGTGCTTTCAAATTGTAGACTTTTGCCTCAGGTCAATACCTCACTTAAAAAAAAAAAAAAGAAAGAAAGAAAGAAAGAAAGAAAGAAAGAAAAATCTGTTCTACAAGGCCCAGCTCGGCAGTAGAACTACACTGATATTACTACCCGTGCCAGTTGCAGATAGAGCCATGATTTATTAGGCAAACGGGAGCAGCACGGACTAATTGGCCATATGAGGATATGACCATGTGAGAGGAATGCATAAACAATAGGGAACACATGCAAAGGCAGCTTGCTGCTTTGGCACATCCCAGGGCACAAGATGAATGGCATCATTAACAGATCTGAGATAAGAAATGCAGTATGTATTACACATGCAAATTTTTTCCTTCTCAAAATAATATCCTGGCCAGAAATACTCCTGTATGAAATAAAGTAAACAGTGTATAGTTTCAGATCATAATATTTAGTGAACCAGAAGATGAAAATATCTTTATCTAATTTCATCACAATAAATTAAACGGTTGATTACATCTTTTTCCATCATCACCATCACATTGGAGACAAGTGAACTCCAGTATGTTCAGAATATCAGAAACATCTTTATCTTTTGTAACAAGCCCAAAAGGGTGTAAACTTTTAGTAGAAACTCACCTTCTAAATTCAGTATGCACTCAATATGGAATCTTGTCTTATTCTATAAGGAGAATAAGGTATTTTTTGAAAGTCTTGGGAGACCAATGGGAGTTTTGCATGCGTCATGTAACCATACTTTGAAAGGGTAGGCTTCCTATCCTCAGTAACAGCTGCAGAACTAATGCTAATAATACTGTAAAATAAGGCTTTTTCATATCAAAATAGCAACATTTTCTTAAACTGTCCTTGATCTATTATCATAGTACATTTATTAACAGCCACTAGTGTAATCCTCCAACGTGACCTATATATAGAATTCCAAGATGTTCTTAAGAGCTGTATAAGCTGTATGAGCTCTTAAGTATCGAATAAGTAAGGGAATAAAGTAAGGAAAAAAAATCCACTCTGGAACACACGGGACCCAGAAAACTATTGTCCTAAATGTCAGCAGTAACTCAGTGATAGGTTAGGTTTCAGAAGAGAGAGGTATTGTTGATTAAAATTATCAAACGCTCACACAGAGCCTGTTAAGTACATGCCTACTGAACTGCTGGTGGCTCCTCAAGTTTCACTGAAGGAAGAAATGAATATGCCTAGCGCTTGCACACCAGTGCTCATAGTAAAGCATACATGGAGGTTACAGTTTAAAACAATCTGAATCTATTCTAACTATGTGGAAATTCAGTTACGTTTGAACTGCTGAAACGGTCTACCCTCTCTACCACCCAAACTGTACTTCGGTAATGTTTCCACCTGGGGACTCTCTGCAGTTTAGACCAAGAAAAAATAAGTTGTTTCTGTCATTTCTGTCCATCAGGAGAAAGCCTCATTACATAAGTAGGCTCGGAATATGTTGTTATGCCAATTGTATTTTATTGCTATTGATTTTCCCATGAAGCCAATGCAATTATGGCCATTTAAATATTATCCTTCAGCTATTTACTTGTCTTGCTGGAGAGAAAACAAGGCATTTCGGAATACAGAGGTTAGGCAGCGAGTAAAATGGAGGTATGTGGTTCTTTTCACTGCTTGCAGTCCTTCCATATAAATAAATCAGAGCAACCTTACAGTATGTTCTACGGAAAGTGAGACAGAAGAATCCCAGAGGTGATTAGAACTTAATGCTTTTGTATGTTTTGAGTTCCAGTTGAGCTTTCCATATGTACTCGGAGAATAAATCTTTTTATTCACTACACTATAAATCACAATGCTTAGTGGAAGGGGGATACCTCAAAACTTTCCAATAATTGTAGATCACTATCATAAACCTGACAGGTAGGCAGATGTTCTGTGAAATTACATATGTAAGAGTGCAAAAGGTAAGTTATTTTTATTTCATAGACAAGTCACAAAAGAGTAATGCAATGGAAAAGGTTTAATTAGCAAAACCATGTATTGCCATTTGGACAACTAAGTGTAAGAGCTATGGGTGCAATCAAGCTCTTGAAAGGCCTGTGGTAGTAAAGTTGAATTGAAAGAAAAAGAAAACCTGTGTTCAAGATAAAGAGCACAGAGATACACAAAGCGTTAGTTGGACATTTGATCCAAATAATTTTAAAATGTTGCAAGTTATCTAAAATAGCTCTCTCCTTCGTTTCTGGATACAGGGAGGTTTTTTCCAATTTTCCTAACAAGTTTTTTTCCAGGCCTGAAGATTTAGGAAACTGGATATTAAACTGGCCAAAACAACCATTCTGGAGCTGAGTAACATTTGAGGAAAATGCATTGTTCAGAAAAGGAGTAAATACTTCTCTAGAGAGTTTTCTGAAATGGAGAAAAGGGAATGACAGCTGTTTGAGAGCCACACAGAAGCCTGAGAAGCAAGAAATAAATAACAGGCAGCATTTAATTGTATTGTTCTGTAATTTGCTCTAAAGATCGTTACAACTCATGCAATAGAGGCGTTAACATAAGCACGTACACATTCCAACTAAGGGCAACATCAGCTCTACTTTATTACAGACTTCGTTACCCACAGAACTAGTGGATTTTATTTGTACCACTGTACTTGGCACCTGGACATCAAAGTAAAGCTGTGTTAGAAAGAAGCACTACATGTTCAAAAATGTTTCTTTACATAAAAACTTGTTTTTATTGGACATCAGTGAATCAAAGGCAGATGGCTGATCTAATTTTAGTTAGGGACAGACACACCCCACCAGCGGCCAGGGTAATCAAGGGTAGACAAGGTTATGAGCTCCGAGCAACAGATTTATTGTACCTGATATTCAGATTCCAGTGTCACATTTTTCTCTTTTAACTTTTCTTTCAAAGCGGGATCAACCTGTAAGACAAAAATATAGCCAAAATTTTTGCTTTTAAGAAAGAAGTTTTTTTTTTTTTTTAAAGAAAAAACCTTAAAGTCAAATAAACTAAATATTGGTGCATGCAGACCCTCCTCTCCTCTAAAAAAGCAGAAATTGAGAGAAGAGTTTATGTACCGTTTGTTCAGATGCTATGATGATGAACACAATATAACAAGACGGATCAACAGCCATTCTTCTCAAATCAAAAAGGAAGCACATTTTAAACTAGAGAATACCCTGCACTTCCATTACCCTAGAACCGTTTAGTTTGAATCTGTCAAACAAAACCTCAGACAAATAAAACAAATAGATCAATAAAGAGAAAAATGCAATCAAATTGAGTATTTTATTCCTGTATGGTGTGTTCAGTGAATAGACATGCAGTATATTCTGGTTTACAAATACTTAACATGAGTCATACTTCCAATTTTTTAGTGAACAGACTGTTCTTTCCTACTTTTGATTCTGTACCAGAAAACGTTGGTGATTCCTGCTACCTTCCAGAGAACAAGGTCTTCCTTTGGTCTTCAAGGAACAAATCTAAGAATATAAATATCAGTGAACCACAGCAGATGAATTTTGCATAACTGAGCCCTGAGGAAGTTATGTTCATCCCTCCATTTGCTAAAGTCACGTCTGTCCTGCACCGGCCTGAGAGCAGAAGCAAAGGGAAGAAAATAATTACCGTTCTCCTTCATTAGAGAAAGCATCTTACGTTATCCTCAGACAAACAACAGCTAAATATGCAGCATCTCGATACTGTCTTTAGGCTAATCAATTGAAATATCAAATAGATTTACCAGGAATAAACATTCTCATTTTTAGACCTTAAAAACCAGCAATGTAAACAAACTAGGTGTGTAAGGGCACTGTGTGTAGTTCACTAAGTACAACTATGACTAGTTTAGTGAACAAAATCTGTTATTCTTAATTAGCTGCTTCTTGATCTCTGTGAAAAGGGCTCTGTGTTTTATCTAGTTTTTATCGGTCTGGTATCCTCATCACAATCAAACTCAAATTTCTATGAGCAGTCTAAAAAAGAAAAAAGAGATGACATGAGTTAGGGAATTTCCCTGGGCTGTGGGAGAATCCAGCTTGAGATTCTGCCCCAACATAAACATGCAACTATGTGAAAGTCGCCTAGCTTCTGATCCTCAGAGATACTTAAAATATATATCTACCATCTTATATTAATGGGAATTGCTCTGAGGAACTTCGCTAGGCCATAATGCCCCTCTTGATCACAAACACTTGCCTGCTAGTTAGTATGCAGCCTGTGGGACCTCAGTTCCTAAGGATGCTCAGACAGCCAAGTCTAACACCATCTGTGCATGGCCAGAGGTCGGATTTCCCTATTCAGCCAGAAGTCTGGCCATAGCAACACATGCATTTGCAACTCTCCTGCAACTCATTATGCTGGGTAAATAAGCCAGAATGCCTACAAACGTTTAAAGTTTGTACAGAATACAGCTCTCACTTTCTCTGCAATAAAAAGTTTTGTAAAAAAGGTACTTCTGTCTATATTAGCATGTCATTTTTGTTTGATGTGGAGGGCCATGTCTCCGCCTTGGTATTCAAGACCTCCACAGAACTGCCCCTCCTTAAAGACAGATTGCCTCTCTCTTTCTGGGATCATGACCTCCAACAACGGCTCTGCTTTGGCAGAACAGTGAACCCATACATTACAAGTGCATAAATGGGAAATCTCTGGGGATGCAGACACACTTTGGGACATGCTTCACACAGACCTCCACGTATTCAGAACTAAATGCAAACACTATCATTACAGTTGGCATTCTTGCAATAGACATATGGACAACGGGAAATAAATGATATAGATTTTAAATGCTTCAGCAAGTACAGAAGTGAGTGTCAGTCTTATTTCCTCCTGATGTTTTCCTTTCAGTTAATGGTAAGGCAACCAAGATAACAAGGTTGGAGCAGCATTTTTAATTAATCAGTCACAGCCAGAATTTAACTTACACAGACACCTCAATAGTCCATTATCAGGTTTTATTCTAGCAATTTTGAGTGTTTATTCGATGTGTGGTGTTTGCATGGCTGCACTTGTATAAGCTAAAGGGAAACAAGCAGGGAAGTTACTGCTGCCCTCTCCCTCCCTCCAGGCCCTTTTGTTCTCACCCCTCTTCCTTGTGTATTAATTCTCCTCTGCCTGCAAAAAGGGAGGAGACTAGCTAAAACTGAGACACAGAATCCCAGTACTCATAACTATTTCATGCTGTAGCTGTAATATTGACAAAAATGAACCTCAGCAATCAAGGAGGCTAGTTGAGAATTAACAGGGTAACCTTTTTCTCAGAAATTTCAATGAGAAATGAAGAACAATTGCTTTTTCTTCAGAAGCACGAGTTTTATCCAGCAAAATAACCTGAAGTAAAAAGCCAAGTTAAACCCTGTTTTTAGGACAAACCATATGTGCACCTTGGCAAGCTCTGAACATTTACTATACAGACACACGAAAGACCAAAGTCCACTTTGCAGAACATTCTATTTCGGTTGAAGTTCCACAAAAATTCCAGAGAGGGAATACATATTCCTTTTTATTCCCTACATACTTAGCCACACAGAAAAACTGAAACATGCTCAATCCTGCACAGAAATGGAGTCATCTCCATGTTCTAACCCTTGGTTGCAAAACCCTACTTTTCAGTTGCCAAAACTAAACAGTCAAGTTACAATTTATTTTCAGAATCAATATCATACTTGAGAAAAAAATACATTGCAAAGTTCTGTCTTCAAAGTTTGTGATCTTTGCAACACCACAAGAACAAAAAAGAGAAATTCAACGGTCACATTTTCATTCAGAAAAGGCAGGCAAACAAGTATCAGCCATGATCACAGACCAAAGCAGGGAACACTTAAAAGGTAGGCAGATCCAGGAAAGTGACCATGCAAAAGTGGTAACTCCTTTACCTTACACATCTGCCACACGATCCAAATACAAACACATGCATTTTGCTTCCATGATGACTGCCATGTCAATATACATACAGCTGAGTGAGTGAAAAGTATTCACCTACATACTGGCAAACAAATCATCAGATATATTATGAATACAAATTTTATTATTAGTGATGATGGGGGGAGCAGACAAAGACCAGAGACAGAAACAACCTGGCAGCGTCCTCTGCACCGTTATTTAGGAGGCAGGAAGGAGTAGAAGACAATATTCCTATTCTACTAGAGGAATACCTCTTGTTAAATAAAATCTCAGAAGCTCCTTTAAGATCCATTTAAATTCAAGCTCTGCCTCTAAAGATGGAATTCAGGGATGTGTGTCTTTTTTCCAATTACAGCATAACTCCACATTAAGCTCTGAAAAACTATTGAAATACTTGATGCAAGTATTTGGACAGCTTCCATGAGAAACTGTCTGCAAGGCTTGGGCCACAATACTGTAAATATCATTTTTACTTTTTTTCCTGTTTTTTTTCCTATGTGGCACTTGCAGGAAAAAAAAAAAAATCAGTGAAACACTATCTTCAAGATCTTTTGCACTATATAGGTTTAATTAATATTACATCAGTTGGAGGTGTGAGGGTAGGTATACAGACAAGCCTCAAAAGAGGTTTAAGAACAAGTTATTTAATTAGAACCCTGTCCCATTTCATCCTTTATTATTCCCTCAGATTTACCCTTACTAAATTTTCAAAGGTTCTCAAGGTTCCTCCCCCTCCAAAAAAAGGACTTAGGAAAAAAAAATTATCAGATGCCTAAATTTAACGGAGCTAAGCACCAAAATAGTCTTTAAAATCTTGGTAGGCAGCTGCCTGAGGCTCTAAGTGCCTAGAATCCTTTTAAAATGTGGCTGTCATTTCTCACCTGAAGGCCAACATTTCAGTTTTCCAATTAGAATCTTTTGACAAATTTACTTCTAAGATAGACTATGTGGTGCAGAAAAGGAGTATCACTTCAGAACAAAGCAAGAATACCTTGTGCTGGCAGGCCCCATCAAACCAGGGACTCATGCAGTGTGGTGTGATGAAATAGTGGCCTCTCAACACTCTTTTGAGTAAAGGGAAATTTTCTGTTTGTGACACATATTTCTGGCTCACTTATAAACCAAAATCTGCTGCTGCTAAGAAAAAAAAAAATTCTCTAGCTAACAATTTTGCGTCGCTCCTCAGGGATCACAATTCATTTTGGTTTAGAAGCAAATAATACAGACAGAGGATGATTGTGAAATTTGTGAATGCCACTAATTTTACCTCAAGGATATGAAACGGATAGTTTTTCAATGGAAGAACCCAAAGTAAAACAACACTATCACCTTTAGACACTAAACATAGGAATACATGGCAGATTAGCGCTTGTTACTCCCATTCAGCATTCAGAAAGGATGGGCAAGTTGATTCACATTCTGATTTTCAGAGTTGTATCCCAGTCATCAACAATAAATACATGCCTGGACTTGCAATTTAAATAGCCCACTATTACAAGCAGTCACTCCCTCTCAGTTTTAACTGTTACTTTTTATTTGTCCACATGTACTTACTATTTGTGGCCACAGGTTTCAGCACAAGCCTAATTTGGAATGTATTATATCTACTAAAATTAAAGGCTCACCCATACTAAAAAACAGAACTGTCAGGAGACAACTATATCACGAAGAAAGGACTATGCTAGTAACAGTCTCCTCTCACACAAGTCAGTACAATAAATTGCATACTTGTGTCACCAAATACTTGTATGACAAAGTCTTACAGCCTACAAAACTTTCCCTCTGATAAACATTTCCAGAAGGCAATAGAAGTTTCTACCCTAAAACTAGGTTAGTTACTTCTATTAAAATATAAGTATTACTATACACAAAATAATATCCCACTGAGAAAGATTTCAGCTTTTCCTTTGAAAATGGAAAAGGGAGACGGATTGGTGCATTTCCTGAACATGAATTAAGCTATGTTTTTTTTCTTCTGCTTACACCAGCATAAACAGATGGGATGCAATTCTCCTG